ACCATGACGAACGTCAATTGGAGCCAGCTGGAGAAGAAAGTGGCGGAGATTAAACGCAACACGGTGAGCGCGCGCTCACGAGCTGTGTACCAAAACTCCTACGGTCGATTTGTTGCCTGGGTTGTCCTCCACAAACCCCAACTAATGACACCTGCCTTCGCTCAGCGTCTAGGTGACGTATCGGATCTCTCAATCAAACAGCTCAGGAAGCGGCTGAAGACTCATCTAAACCTCGACGAGGCTAACCCACCTCTTCAGTTTGATGTGCTACAGTCAGACGTCTTTGAGGCTTGACTATTAACGCTGGAGAAGCGCGACGGTAGTACTCTTAGCTTCTCGGCGCCAAACACTCATCGTGCCGGTCTATTCAACCTCTATCGTGACTATGGATGTGAAATGTCTGCAGTAATGGAGAAAGATTTGCGCCAGTATTTCAAGGGGCTCAAACGGGAAATGGCTATTGCAGCAGCGCGAGGAGAAGCTCGTGCAAAAAGTGGCAAGGATCCACTTTCTTTTGAGCTATATATTTTTTTCTGTGAGCAGCTCCTCCAACAAACATCAAAGGACATGCTATTTGCGAGGGCGTACATGGTAATTTCTTGGAATCTCATGTGTAGATCTGCAAACGCTTTTGGCATTCGCCACGGCCACATGGAGTGGAGTGGAGATGACCTGTGTGTGTACTTTGCACACCAGAAAAACGACCGAGAAGGCCGTAGACCTCGTGACCCAAGACACATCCACGTCAATCCGTTACGACCAGCTATCTGTCCCGTGCTAGCTTTGGCAATATTTTGGGCTACCTCGTCATTCGATGGCTCTGATCGCTTATTTCCTGGTAGTAACCAGTGTGAGAGGTTTCGTAAATGTTGACAGCGACTTTTAGATCGTGATTGCGTGGCTGAGGAACTACATCGACGTGGGGTTGACCGCGACGAGCTTGGTACGCATTCAATGCGTAAGGGTGCGGCAACGTACTGTGCGTCCGGCTCAACGGCATGTCCGTCATCGACATCGGTTTGCCGTAGCTACTTGAGTCCTTTGAAGTAAAATGTGAACGGATTGAATTTGAATGAGATAAATCCTGGCTTCTGCTGGCTACTACCTAGGCTAGCGAACTACTCATGCAGTGCTATGGGTGCGCACCCATCGTCTGCACCCGAAGCCAATATAAACTTGATCAAAGGGTTCACACCCATGCGCCACTGAGGACAGGCGCTTGTGGCGTCAGGGTGCGCGCCTGATGCGGTAGGAGTTGTTA